CCCCCCCCCCCCCCCCCCCAAAAAAAAAAAAAAAAAAAAAAAAAAAATATATATATATATATATATATATATTCTATATCAGTCTCAGAACATAAAGTTTTCAAAAAGATCCCATGAGACCTCTTACGCAGGAAATCCATGTAAATATCCTTTAATATTTCCCAAGTGTGACCATTGCAATATGTATGCCTTCTGTTAGCATTTGTTTAGTCAATGGCGTCCGCCTCGCATATTGTGCAGGGGTTATTAAAAAACCATTGTATATGATATGACAAAAGTATCTCCAACAAAATCTGATTAAATAGTAAGTGTATGCATTAAGCAAAAAACAATTGATTCCTGTAAGATTAAGAAGGCAGACAATGAGGGACAACTTACTTCAATGGTGAATCGGCATTGTAAGGCTACAATCCTGCGCATGGTTGATAGTGGTCTGTGTATTTTGATTATTCTCATATACAGTTGCCATGATGAAACCCAAGGCCACCTCTACTTAATGCATTATTTGCCCCAGCTAAAAAGCTACAACAGCATGTGAAGATGCAGTGAACCAAAGACATCTTCTATTTAAATGCTTTGTGGAACCCACCTAAAATGTGGACCGACCTGGGAGATATCTCTAACGACATAGATGGCAAATGGAACGAAGTTAGTGCTAATAAGTAAAATAACAAGGCAGGAGACCAAGGTTACACCAATCTTTTTACTATAGACAGAAGAACCATTCCCCATTAGCCTATGTATATTTAGTCATAAACATATAACCACTACACAATGGCCTGATGCATGTAATAAAAAATTAGCTTGGTGGATTACGACAAATAAGGAAAATAAATTGATCAGTCCACTTGTACTCAGTGAGATCAATAAGAGTGGCGTGATTTAGTCCCCCCACAATGATGCATGTTTATGATTGAGACTACTTAGGTGACTCATTTGGGAGATGTTTTTTCCAAATTAGGTACCAAATTAGAGTTCAGTTCAGACCTAGAGCGATTGGATTTTGAAAATCATCCTCTTCAGTATAGGGGTAAGGCTGCCTGTAACACACTCTTTTATAGGTGGTACCATGGGAGTCTTCTGCATTGGCTATGACCTTTACCAAAATTGGTTTTTGGGGTGCTGGACAGGGTACACTAGGTACACCTTACTGCTTTTCTGCACAATTTTGATTTCAGCTTGTGAGTGTGAGTTGTCTTATGTATTTATATGTTCGCACTAATACATAGGGCACACTGTTATTGTTGTTACTTGCTAAGATGGTTATTTCATTGCATATCTTCTTTTCAACCTAATTGAAACTGCTGCATTGTTCGTAATTTTGATAAATCCTAAGTTCCTAACCCATTCATTTGTTTGTTGCAGGGTGTTCTTCAGTCAATTACAGTCACTGATTACTCCTGAATCCGAAGTGAATCGAATTCAAGTAAATTCATACTTTCTTAATTCCATTTATTCTCTGTTTTTTCATTTGTTGTTTACTTCCCTTGGATATTAAAACATCTTTTCACTTTTCCTGATTAAGAGTTGTGGTGAAATTATCGTTTTGTGCCTACTCAACATGATCAAATCTAACTGTGCCATTGGAGGGAAGTTAGGAGAGAAAATTTTAAGGCTCGATATCCTTGTACTAGTTACCAGTGAATGCAATTGATAAAAGAACAATGTCAGGTGAATGCAGGATATTCAGGTCATTATCTTTGCGATCGATGAGCACTTAGTTAGCTGTATGGCATGGGAAGTTAGGTCAAACAAGTTTATTTGGTGTTGACTCTAGGTTGGGAAATCATGATATGAGACTTTATTGGTGGCTATAAAACTTGAGTTTAGCTGTGTTCCATTTTTTTCAAGTGAGTCACCTGTGAAAACTACATGGGATATGCTTTCTTAGAAGCTCAAACCATACATGTCAGTAATTTTCTGTGGTATGGGGAAAGTGACTTGAGCCAGCTGGTTCTTGAATTGGGTTTCTAGTTTTCATTAGCTGGTTGTATGTTTTCCATTATATAGTAATCTGAGTATTGAAAATTGATTCTGTTTAGGAGACTCAAAGTATGGGGGGATGCTCATCACCTCTACCAAAAAAAGTAGCTCCAGATCTAAGTAACAGAAGTGGTAACGTGAAAGAGGGCATGTCAGAGAATTCTGCTTTCCAAGAAGTGGACCAGTTCTATCTCAGGAGCAATGATATAGATCAAGAAGAAGATGTAGGGAGGCAAAACAAGAGGACAGATAAAGGTAAACCTGGTGGGGTTGAGGCTAAAGTTATAAGAGAGATTGATAGAGATGCTCAGAATGACGAAACAAGTGGGTCAGATTCGAACTCTACACGAGGAAAGAACTCTATTGATCAGACAGACAACCTTGATTTTTTAAAATCAAGTGAGCAAATCAAAGAAAGTGGATTTGGAGAAGTTCAAGAGGAAGAACTGATCGGAACTGTCCAGAGTGAAGAGAAGCAGAGAAGAAAACGTAAGCGGACCATAATGAATGAAAATCAGGTAGCACTAATCGAGAAGGCCCTCTTGGAAGAACCTGACATGAAGCGAAATGCAGCCTCAGTACAGTCATGGGCTGATAAATTGAGTGCTCATGTATGGTAAAATGACCTTTTGCATTTTCTTGTCCTTTTGTAAACATTTAGATACATTTTCTTCCTAAGAAGATCTTACCTTTTGTTTTCCAGGGTTCTGAGGTTACAACTTCCCAGCTTAAAAATTGGTGAGGTAGCCTTTCCTTTAGTAGTAGGACATGCTTCAGTAGTTAACTGATTTTTCTCCTTGTTATAATTCATATTCCACTGATCACAAACAAGAAATATGAAAACAAACATAACTTGGGATCTTATGACAGATTGGGTTGTAGTGGTTGCATAAGGTACCACCATTTTTCTTTTCTTTTCTGTTGACTTCTTTTCAAACAATAAGAATTGCTTAAGGACATCAGACATTGCCTGAAGAACAGTGCTTGTTGTATTTGTATCGGTTTCTTTATTTTTAAGTGCTTCTTTGCCTCAACTGATCTAAGTAAGAACAAATATAGCTGGTTGATAATGCCAAACGTTGCACAGATATGCTAACCCTCTGTTTGAACACTTGCCTGCCATTTTAAAGTTCTTTCTCCACCCTAGAGTGAAATATGTGAATTTAATTTAATTAATATTCCTATTAGAAAGATTTCTCTAGTTTGACATCTTTGTTGTTAGGTTGCTGAGTTGTGGTCTGAATACAAGGATGCTCAAGCTTACTTGTGCACATATAGGTGCTGTCTCTATTTACCCCCAGCTCAAGCCAAATGAAAAGAGCTGCTCAAGCTTAATTGGAAATGTTCAAGTTCAACTAAGTTGAGTTTAGCTCATTGCTGATATGAGGAAGTAAAAGTTAGCCAATGTACTGGTACGAAGCCATAGATATCCAAAAAAATAGAGAAAATGGCAAATCAATCCTTGTCCTTGCCCTGATCTTAATGGATACGAGAATAGCACAGGGAGTAGAAGGATGATATAGTTTTGAACTGTTGATGTGAAAAGCCCTGACTTGATGCACTAATAAACCAAGTCAGGGTTTTCAAGTCCCCTTATTAATTGTGAGTCTGTGACTGAGGACTCTGGCATGAGTTTTGATCCTCCACATAAAGAATGAAATGAAAAGGGGAAGCCATAGAATTTGAAGATGAAGAAAAATAAGAAAAGGAGTGGAGTGAAGAGAAGTAAAAATAATTCTTGTAGGGTGGCTGTGGAAGAAGAAAGAAAGGGAGTGGAAACAAGGAGAAGAGATTGTAGCTTTTTGATAAGATTACAAATATATCTTCAACTCTTAAATCTACAAGAGAGATGCCTGATCATAAACTACCTTTATACCACTTCTATGTCTGACTCAGTGATTTGGTGAAGGATGGGCTTCTTAAATGAACAAGCCTTGGATGTTAGCATGAACTCAGCTCTTTTGTCTTGCACTGAGCTTGGACCAGGTGCAAATGAGATGAATCAGAACTGCTCAAAAGCCTTTTTTGTGTTCTTTCCAATTTTGCCGCTTATGTTAGGTCCTTGTTATTGCACCTTTTCGCACTAGATAGATATAGAAATTGATCACAGATCTACAGCATTCTTTTTTTTTTTTTGGGCGGGGGGAAGGGTTGTAGGTACAGGATTCGTTACCTTAGGTGCAAGGAACTTTTTAGTTTCTACAAGGTTGAAGATTAGTTCAAGGGCTTTCTTGGTTTATAATAGGGGTGAAGTGGTTGAGTTACATTCTTACGTCTAGGTTTACACCTCTCTGGTGATTCGACACATTTGACTTTGCAAGCCAAATTTTTTTGTGTGACGCATGATTGGCATATCAGAGCCTGTCTTCTTCAAACATCTTATGTCCACATCTTATATTTGGCAACACTTCTCCCTAATTTCATGGAAGCATTTGAGCATCAATCATTTTTTTTTTAGGGTAGGGGGACTTGAACCCTTGATCTCAAGAAGACAAAGTCTATAAGAGAAGGAGTACCATTGGACCAAATGCTCATTCATTGAGCATCAATCATTAATATTGAACTTGCTTCTAAACCATGTTGAGTTAGGTTGGTGGATTGGTCTTCCCTTGTAAACTGAATACCATGATAATAGGTTTGAATTTGGAAGAAATCATCCTTGGTCCCTTCAAAAGTATTTTTTGCACTTTCAGGGAAATGCTACCCTGTACTCTTTTCTCCTTTTGGTTTCCATGAGAATGAAGGTCAAATGCTGGATCCGATTAATCCTTTTTTCCTCACAATTATTTGCTTTTGTTGCTTTGGGAGTGTGGCTCGAGAAAAAAACTGCTTATAACTAGAAAAAGCCCTTCTATGGTAGACATGAATTCTATGCAAAGTCGAACAAACTTGAGATGCCTTTCCATCTCAATGATTCCATTTGTATTATTCCTTCATTCTATTTCTATTGTGATGGATTTATAATCTTTTGTTATCATTTTCACACCTTACTTTTTATAGGCTGAATAACCGCAAAGCAAGGCTGGCCCGTGCTGCACGATCTGAAGTCGCGAGCAACCCTCACCAAGGTGGGTCAGGAATTAGTCCACTCTATGACTCATCTGAGAGTGACATGTGCGTCCCATTGGCTACAAGAGGGACTCGCCTGAGTGGAATTGGGGGAAGCACTTCGAAGACTGATGCCACTGAGCACTCAGCATCTGAGCTTGCGGGATTGGTTGATATTACTCCTGTACAATGTGAGCCAGGACAGTATGTTGTGCTTGTGAATGGCCAAGGAGAAGAAATTGGTAAGGGAAAGGTGTATCAAGTGCATGGCAAATGGTGTGGAAGAAATTTGGAGGAATTGGAGACGTGTGTTGTGGACATTATTGACCTTAAAGCCAACAGATGGGCTAGGCTTCCGCACCCATGTGAAGCCACTGGCACCTCATTTGATCAGGCTGAAAAAAAACTTGGTGTGATGAGAGTGTTGTGGGATTCTAACAAAATTTTCATGTTGCAACCCCGGTGAATTTCAGCGAGTGTCCCTGCCTTGAAGGTAAGGGTTTTAGGTTAAACTGCAAGTCGTTGATTATACGTTTAACTTTTGCACACTAATTTTTCAGTGTTTTACATTAGACAGAAAATTTAGAGAATATTTTTTTTTCCCTGACTTCTGTTGGTATTCTTTAGTGTACATTCCTAGTGCATTAGTACCAATTTTGGGGTTATCTTTACTGTTTGCCGATCTTAGATTCAAAAAATTCTCCTGTCAGATTGCTGGTGTTCTACAGCGGATTGCCATTCTGAATCCTTAAGTTGATAATAGTCCGCAATCTGCTGCATATTGAAGTTGGAGGCAATGGTTTGAGGTCACTGTTGAGCGGTTACATCCAGTTCGCTGGAGGACCATGCATGAGGACCTGTCCACAGTCCACCCATGAGATGGCTAATGTACATGATTATATGTCAGTGAAAACGAGGCCTTACATCTGAGTTGCTTTTTTTTTTTTAAGAGGGGGGGGGGGGGGGG